TCTGGGTTTTAGAAGGAGCCCTCTGAGGACCGCGGCCTGGGGCCAGCAGGTGGCCATGGGGGCCTCGAGCAGTTTCCGTGCCCGGGAGGCACCAGGGTGGGAGGCCGGGGTCCTGTCTGGACCCTCTGTCCCCAGGCCAGAGTGCTGTGCTGAGTGTCTGCTCCCCGCGGCTTCTCTGGGCCTCCCCCCCGAGGAATCTGAAGTATGGGCCTCGGCATGTCCGATTCTGGCTTCTTCACGCTGTGCTGAACTCCCACACCTGCTGTCCTCCTCCTCATGTCAGAGAAAAAACAGCACTTCCAATTAGAGGGGAATGTGCTGTGGGGGAGGGGACCCGGGACCCCTCTGCCAGCATGGCTTCAGCCTTCCCTTAATGCTGCAACCAGGGACCGGCTCCCCAGGGCCCCGCAGCCACGGCACGAAGTGGACGGTGCCCGGCCACAGGCCTGCTGCTGGCAGAGCTCTCATGTGGATGGAGTCCTGGGGGTTTCTGACCCTCATGCCCTTTTTAGCAGGGTAACTCGGGTGCTCCTGGCTTTGGTGCATGGAGCTGCTGGGCCAGCGTGATGCTTCCTGGCCCCCCACACCCTCCCCAGACCTGCGATGCTCCTGGGCTGTGTTGCGCGGGGCTGCGAGGGACAGCCTGGTCCCGTGGCTGAGCGGACTGACAGGGGCAACCGGGGAGGTGCTATGGGGGACAGGTTGTCTCCACCCCCCTTGGGCTCCCTGATCTATGCCTCTCTCAGGAGTACAGCCTTCTCTGGAAGCTTCCCTCCACCCTTCCATGACATAGAGACATTCATCTATTTCCCTTTGGCATTTTTCTAATGAAAGGCTGTTTCTTGCTTCGAGTTCAGTGTTTTGGGAGGGGGGAAAGAAAGCTCGCTAGTGTTTGTGCTGAAGTGTCTGCCCGTGGTGGGGTCATACAGGAAGTAAGGGCACTGGGAGGGGCTGGGCACAGGCGGCGTCTCACTGGGCTGTGCTCCCCTCCTTCCTGGTCTGAGTCTGGGCTAAATTTTGCAGCCTAGGCTTTTATACCAGCGGGGAGGGCGGGGCAGCTTGGCGGGACCCACATCGCCCTATTAGGCGTTGTGGGCTCCTTGCCTGCTGGGCTTCTGAAGCCTGGCAGGGGCGGGGGGGGGGGCGGTGAAGAGAGGCGGTCACCCGTCCCCTGCCTTGAGCAGACTGGCCTTCCTGACCACGACCTCGGCCGGAGGAGTTAGCGCCGGTGCACCCGCCCCTTGTTTGTAACTGCCACGGCTGGCACTCACCTGGGCCCCGAGATGGGCGAGGGAGGGCTGGGGCACATGGGCTTTGCTGCACTAAACAAAGGGGTGCTATGGAGTCAGTGAGTCTCAGCCAGCCTGCCACGAGCAGGCCACCTTGCTTCTGCCCAGGCCAGTGGGCGCTTGTCTTGGCTGATGCCAGTGTGGGGGTCAGGAGGGAAGACTGGCCAGAGGGGGCTGCCGTGCGGCCTGGACGCCCCTGCCCTCTGTGGTCAGCGGTGGCCGGGGGCCAGGCGGGATGACTAGGCAGGCTTCAACAGCCACTTCCATTGTTTGGAGTTTGGCTTGACTTGAAGTTGGAACGGAACGATTTTGGTGGCGTGGTGGTGCATTTCTCTGCTTTCTGCATGTGTGCTAATATCCTGGCGCTCGGCCCTGTGTGGCATACAGCCTGCCTCCTCTCCCATCGAGGCGGCTCTTTCGGCCTGACCTCAGACCTGCTCCCTGGGACCCATGGCTTCTCTGGTGCTAGGCTCCAGGAAGGCACTTGACCGCCTGCCTCATCCCTGCAGGCCTTCCTCGCCCGCCACCTAGGGGTTCTCCCCTGACCGCCTCGCCCTGGTTCACAGAGGTGCTGGGCAAGTGTGTGAGGAATGCATGGTGGGCCCCGCTTGGTCACGGACCCGGGCCCAGCCCTAGCTCTCCTCCAACCCCCGTGTCTACATTCTTGCCTTGTCATAGCAGACTTGGCCCCCACTCGGATGCTAGTACCAGGGTGAGCCTCGGAAGGGGGCCGGGCTGTCACTGCTCCTGCTTTCCCTGGGCCAGGGTGCAAAGGAAACGGTATGGTGTGTTTGGCATGACGTGCTGGTGCAGTGGTGGGCTTGGGGCTCTCTTTCTCTCTCTCTGGTTCCTGCCTCTGCTGCCAGGGCGGAGAGAGAAGCAGAGATGCTCGCCCTGGGAAGTTGGAGCCGACTTGCCTCCTGAGTCAGCTGCATGGCTGCTTGTGACCAGGCTGCCCGGGGCCTGCTTTCTGCTCAGGACAGCTGAGCTCTGGACCAGCATGGAAACAAGTTGCTTTCCTTTCTAGAGGTGCCCGTCCCCTCTTGGGGGGTGGGGTGTTTAAGAACAAAGGCTCTGGAGCAGACTTCCAGTATCATATCTGGGCTTCTCTCCCTGTCTGCCTCGGTGTCGACCTCTGTAGAATGATGTCCAGACACCTGGAGGGCAATTGCAGTGTTCTGAGGGGTCTGCCAGCACTGGGCTTGCACGCAGGTGTCACCCCTGGTAGCACAGGCAAGGGGAATGGGGTGGGGGCGCCGAGCCCCAGAACTCAGAGGTTCTAGTGACTTGTTCTTTTGTGTCCTTCCCCTCTTGTGTGTACTACAAGGCTGTTGGCCCCGCAAGGTCTCAGGGAAGCATATGAAGGCTCTTTCCACCCAGTTCAGGGTGCACCAACTTTGGGCCTCTTGGGCTGGTGCATGCAGAGTCACGTCACAGGTCCTGGCCGCTTGTGTGCAGGGGCACCTGCGCACTGGACGGGATTGTGCCTCTCTCCTCTGTGCCCTAGACAAAGTGGAGTGGGGACCTCTGGCCATAGGGGACTGTGTCAGCCCCACTCCAGTGGCTGTCACCACAGAAAACCTGCACCGAAGTCAGCTGCCACCTCCCCGCCCAAACCTCACCTCCTCTCTCGTCTCTGTCCTCTGACTCCTGCTGCTGCTGAGGGTTCCCTGCGTGCTCTCTGCTCGGCTCCAGCCTGGTTTTAGTTGTGGGATGACTCTAGCATTCTCTCTCTCTCTGACCCCATGTGGGTGGTGACCGCTGCGGCATTGGCTGTCCCAAATAACAGAAGTGGCATCCCTCAGGTCCCTCCCAGGATGTTTCCACTAATGTGGCAACCTCACTGCAATGGAAGGTTTCTTTACATTCCAGGGGACAGGCCTGATGCATTGGCTCTAGCTGGCCATGCGTGCTCTTTTGGGGTGCTGGGCCCCTGGATGTGGCCTGGAAGGGGGTGGGGGTCGCTGGGGGATGGGGCTGAGGAGCCATAGGGGACGGAGCAGATGCTGTGGGCTGGTGGCTTCTCTCCATATGTCCCGGGTAGCTGGGTGGGTGGGACCTTCCCTTCCTTCCTTTCATCTTTGACAGCGTGGGCGATGCCACTCATCCTGTGTGGTCGTCTTGCAGAAAGAGACGGAGAAGGCCGGTGAACATGCTGTAGCCACTGCCCGGTGTACAGACAAGATGTCCCAAACACATGTCATCTTTGTGTTTCTGCATCTTAAGTAAACAGTTCATCACGACATCCCGTATGGGGAGAGCACAGATGCACGGGCTTCCGTGCGTGAGACCGTTTGCTTAACCTCCCGCCGTGGTTGGGCATTCGGGTTGCTTCCGGGGGTTGGTGGTTGTGAGCGGTGCTGCCGTGCACCGTCCCGGCCCCGTCTTGGTCTCTCCTGCAGACGCGGTACACTCTAGGTCGCACGGGAGGTGCACGCGTGACCTCAGAGGACGGCTTTCTCGTGAAGCGCCAGCCCCTTCCTTTTCCGCCAGCAGCTCTCGGTTTCTCCGTGTCCTCTTCAGCCCTTGTTGTCACCATGGACCCCACCTGCCTGGGGGGGTGGGGTGCTGACTTGTGGTTTCCCTGCCGACTGATGCTGAGCGGCTGCTCACAGCTTCGTAGCCCTCCTGTCCTCCTTTGGGGACATGTCTTTTCAAAGCTCTTGCCCACTTTTTATTGTCTTATTATTGTTGAGTTTTGAGAGGGCTTCATCTGTTGTGGATGGAAGCCCTGTGTCACTAAGTGACTTGCAAATATCTCTTCCAGTCTGTGGCTTGTCTTTTCTGAGACACACCCCTCTTTCCTTTTGATGATGTGCCGCTCATCCGTCGTCATGTTCTACGGGCCATGCCCTCGGCAGATGGCGTGTTTATGTACCGCACTGAGGTCTTGCTCCTGCTGTTTCCTAGAAGAATTTCCAGTCCGGTGCAGGCCCCTTTCTGTGTATCATGGGAGCTCCTGGGGGGCCAGGGTCAGGCGGGCAGGGTGCCAGGTTGGGCGTGAGCACCTGTCTCTGTGTGCTTTCCTGGGGCCAGCAGGTGTGCGAGCCGCAAAGCTGGGAAGCAAGGAGAGAGGAGTTCTGACACCAGCTGTGCGCCCACATCCCTGGAAACTCGGAATGTCCGGCTCTCGCTGGCCGTGCCTTTGGGCTTTATGGATCTGTGGTCCGAAAGTGTTCCTTGCACCCTCTTGGGACCTGGATAATCACTGGTGGAAACACTTTAGCTGTTGCGTGGCGGTGCTGCCTTCCAGCCGGGAGCCTGTTCACCAGGTCCCTTGTCTTTGCCTGGACATTGGAGCTCATCCAGCGTCCTGAAAATCTGATTGCTTCTTGTGCCAGTTTGACAGAAGTGCCAGGAAAGCAGACGAAGGTTGGATGAAGTTAGCGCGGTAGTGACCCTTCACCTCAGCTGGAAGGCTGTCAGGAGCACGTCCTAGCGCCAGTAGCATGTCATTGAACTCTGAAAGTTGCGTTGAGAGCTCCCCGGGAAGGTGCCGAGGTGAGGGCACAGTCGATGAAACAGTTCGTGTGAGAAGTCAGCAAGTGCGCAGGCCCTCAACGCGTTCTGAGTGAGGGACACGGCCGTTAACAGGTCTGGCGATGCCCTGCACGCCTGATGCTAACCCCTGGCGTGGCAACGGGGGACATAACAAGCCGTGTGCCGGGCGCTGTGCGCTAGCAGAGAGTGAGGGAACGGGGGGGGTCGACCATGGATGGGGGGGCATCTCTGGGGAACTGGTGAGGGAACGGCACGTGAACAGTTGGGAGAGAGAATTGAGGGAGAGCAGGAGCACAGCAGCCCCCAGGCGGGCCTGAGCTCCTGTACTCAGCGTGGTCAGGGGCCAGCACGGCCCAGCAGCGTCGGGGGTCACGGGCTGGGGTGGGTGGGGGGAGAGCCTTAGGAAGAAAGGAGCACAGTTGCCTGGAGGTCATGTGCGTGCATACACATGGACTCATATACGCGTACACACACAACTCATACGTGCATACATACAGCTCACACACACACAACTCACATCCACATAAACACACAAATACACATACACACCTCACATATAATCATACACACACACATACACATAGTCGCAAACACACACACCCATGCACAAAATATGCAGATAGATACGCACTCTCTGCTGTGCAGCGTGTGGCTCCTGGAGGAGTCCGTGTGCAGCCTGGCCAGTCCAGACGCTTGTCTTATGTAGAGAAAAGCAATAGATGAGGGTGGATCAGCTGCTGGAAAGCTTTCTTTGCCCTCTCGATTGGAAGTTTGCACGTGGCACGCGGAATCCGCTGTGTGTGATGTAACGAAAGGGTTTGTGTGGATCTTCTTTATTGCTGGTTTTCCTGGGTGTAAAATGGATATGGAAGTATCTGGTCACCTCGCTGGGCTAGGAGGACGTGTTGAGGTCATGCCCATGGGGCACTGCCCGTAAGGCTTTGGCGTGGAGATGCTCCTTCTGGGAGCCGGCATCGCGCCAGCTGTCATAGATTAAAAAATACTGATTCTGTCTCCTGCCTGTCAGGCCTCTGTGGGTGTTTGGGGCTCTCCAGCTTCTCTTCAGTGCTATAAAGGTTCTGTGTTTTCTTCTGAAAGAGGGTGCCAGTGTGCCCTGAACAGACCATCGTGTCATGCCTTCTTTACCAATAAGGCAGGCAGGGTCACAGGTCTGGAGCACCAGAAGCGGATGTCAGAGAGGACGTGAGAGGGGCTGCTCTCAGGGGCCAATTCTTCTCAGAACTCTGCTCCCTCCTTCCGGCAGGCGTAGGCCAGTTGGTGCTCCAGGAGACGCTGGGGATGAGCCCCCACTGTTTACCTTCTCACAAGCCCCTTTCTGTGCCCTGGTCTATATGCCTCCAGCCCTTGACGTTGGGATCTGCCTGCTCAGAGGCTCTTGGGGGGCATAGAACCAAGGTCCAAGGCAGAAACGTTTTCTGAAATACCCAGTCCCTGTCTCTGCCTGGGAGACGCCTCCTTTCCTACAAGGTTCTTAGATAACCAGGAAGGAGGGAGAACCTCCTGTCCAAAAGGTCTGGTAAGCAGGTGCTTCCTTCTTGTGGAGCTGAAGTCGGCAGCAGCTATTCTGGGTTCTTCCAGAAAATGCTCCCTCCAGGCACGAGGCTTATGAGGAACGGCTCCTACATGCTGGCCAGGTCCTCACCGGCCAGGCCCGTCAGACGCTGCCTCCTCCCCCTGGGTGCAGAGAGCGGCGGGACGGTGGGGAGGTGGCTCTGGTGTGTTCCGTGCCCCACAGCCTGGCTGGGAGTTCGAGCCAGCCGTGCGATCATCTGTGTATGAGGAGGTACACGGGGCACCTGTGGTCTGGAGACAGGTCCTGCACTGTGGTGTGAGGCTCGCCCGCCTTTGGGCCATGTCCAGGCCCTGCTGGCTGCAAGCACCCTCATGCTTGGGGACCTGGCCCAGCTGGCCGGCGTCCGGGGGAGCTTTGGGACGGGGCTCCTGTCACGGTCATTGGGCCGAGGCGAGGGTTTGATGCCTCTGCACAGTGATGAGCAGATGTCACCTGCGGTGGCGGTGCCAGCACAGGTGCTCATCCAGGACATCTGGGCGACTCTGTGGCAGCCGCGTGCAGCCCTGTTAGCCTCTGCCTCTCTCGTCCTGGCGCCGCGACCCCGGCCCAGTCGTGCCACTGCAGCCCAGACTGGCCCTCCCGCCTTCTCCACACAAGTTAGGCCTTCTGATCACCACTCTCCCACTCAGATCCTTCAGGGGTTCCCACACACCTCAGGCACAGTCCAGATCTCAGCCCCGCTGCCCTGTCTCTTTAGCCACCCTGCACGGCTCTCCTGGTGGCTGGAGCTCTCCTTCCCAGGGGTCTGCGTGTGCTGTTCCCTGCACAGACCCTTCTTTTCCTCATCCCTCGGGCCTCACTCGTCTGGACCCTCCCTCACAGCCTGTCGGGGTCGGACGCTCGCGTGTGCTCAGGCCTGGGTGAGCTCGCTCCCTGTCCCACCCAGAGTGTCGAGTGAAGGGCAGGGATGTGCAGAGCCTGTGAGTGTGGGCAGAGCGCCTCTCTCTTTCACAACGCACACACGCCACCTGTAAGCCACGCACGCTCCTTGCGCGGGCTCCCTGCAGAGGCGACCCCGTTCTCCGGAGCAACACTCTGCCTGAGGCCGCATAGCGGGTGTGGGGGAGTCGGGGGGACCCCAGCAAGCCCAAGGCCACCATGCCGTCACGCTCTGCTCGGCACTCAGGGCACCCTCGGCCTGGCCATGTGTCCGCTGCCCGTGATAGGTGTTGGCTTCTGGAGAGAGTGCCAGGATTGCCGGGGTTCACTTTTCAAAGTCAGATGCCCCCAGGAGCCAGTGGGTCAGTTGGGGGTGAAGGGGGAAGCCATCTTCCCCACATTGGCAAGGAGCGCACATGCTTTCCTGTCCAGGTCACTCCGCAGTTGAAGGGATCCACGGAGCCCCCGGTGGCCGCTGCTTACCCCTGGACTCGCCCAGGGCTGGATGTCAGGCCTTCTCCCTGTGGCAGTCCATTGGAGGACCGGGGTCCGTGGTGGCCTGCGGGGCCTCAGCTTGGTGGCAGGCAGAACGTGTGTGCACGTGTCTGTGTGCCAGGGGGGCGGGGATTGGGGTTTTCCGCGGCCAGACGGCAGAGCCCTGAGGGCGTGCGGGGCTTCTCCAGAACGACCGCACCAGAAAGACATTTTTCCGTCCTCTCTTCCTCGTTTAACTCCTGGCTGGCCTACGCACCTGTCAACACTCTTTTTGTGCCCTCAGTGTGCCAGGTGCGCTCCAAGTACAGAGTGTACCGCCGAGGAAGTGGCACACAGCCTGGCCCCCTGAGCTGGCGGTTCTCGGGGGTGGGGGTGGGGTAGAGTCACAACGCAGTCCTGTGCAGCCCGGCCCGATGGGTGCTCCGTCCACAGCTGTGTGTTGCTGGGGGAGTGGCACCCGCCCAGCACCCTCACTCCCTCCTGGCGTCTGCCATGCTTGTAGACAGAGTCACTGTTCTGACCCGGCCCTGGGCCCGGCCCTGGGCCTCCCACGGAGGAGAGAGCGGTAAGCGTGCGCAGGTGCCTGGCTGGGGTCCGACTGCTGTGGCGGGAGACACTGGGATGACGTTGGCTCAGTGTGGTGGGCACTTGGGCTGCCAGGGCCCTGTCGCTCCAGTCCTGTAAGGCACTGGGGTCAGAAGCAACATGCAGGAGGTGGGAGAGGAGGAGGCAGGCTCCTGGCAGAGCACCTGGAGGAGGCGCGAGCAGCTGTGTGCCGCCTGGATGCAGGGGTCGGGGGCTGGGTCCGCGTCACGGTGCTTGACCCACAGCAGGAGACGCGGGCACTTACACTGCCCGGCCCTGGGCCTGCTGCTGCCTTCAGCTGGAGTCCGCTTACTTTAGATGGACAGTGCATTTTTCTCCTGAGAAACCCGGCCCTGGGCAGGCGCCGTGGCCCGCGGACGCCCTCCTGCCGCAGCAGCCCTTTCCTGGGGCGACACGGTGCTTCGGGACGTGCCGGTGAGTGAGCACGCAGGCAGCATCCCGGGACAGGGGAACGGACTGAGGGCGGGCACAGGCGGGAGGAGGGAGACTTGTCAACCACCACGGTCCCGCAGTGAGAGGGACGGGGGGCTTCGGCCAGGGTGGACCCGCCGACCGTAGATAGAGCCTCGAGGACACGCTGGTGGACGGGTGTGGGTAGGGGCTGGGAGGATGCCAGAGGGGCCGTGCTGGAAGGGGGAACTTAAGGCGACCTCGGGACGGGTGGAGCAAGGACGCGTGACGGGAGCCGTTCTCGACACACGCCGCGCCTGTCGAGAGGGCTCAGCCCTGCGGGTGTTAGCGTGCGCGTGCGCGAGCCTCGGAGCCCTCTCCCCAGTCAGGGAAGTGAGCCCACCCGTCACCTCCAAAAGGTACCACGTGACTTCTTTCCCACTCCCTTCCAGGTGACCGCTGGCACGCCTCTGTCGTCACGGGTTAGTGAAATTGTCCGGCCGTTTACGGGAGGGAGCCTGACAGCAGAGTGTGAGGCCCCCGCACGCTGCGTGCGTCCGGTGTCTTCTGTCTGCAGTCGGGCGGGGCCCCGTGGTGCCGACCGGCCCCAGCCTAGTGGTCCGCTTTCCTGCTGGCGGCCACGGGGGCTGTTTTCACATGTCGGCCGACACGGACGAAGCTGCTCTGGACGCGCGTGCAGGTCTTTGTACAGACACGCGCGTTCCCTTCGGTGGGTCGCCTGGGTCGTACGACACACGTGCGTTCAACATCTTCAGAAACCGTCAGACCGTGTTCTGCAGCCACCACGCCACTTGTCTTTGTGCCAGCCGCGCGTGACAGCCCCAGAGCGTGCCCGTCATCGGCACTGGGTGCCGGCAGTGTCGGTCAGAGAGCCCTTGTGAGGGAGGGAGGCGGGGTCTCGCGGTTGCGGTCCGCGCTTCCTCATGACCTCATGACCTCATGACCTCCAGGTCTTCTCAGTGCCGACTCTTCAGACCTTTTGCCCGTTTTCTACGGAGTCTGTGTTCGTGTTGAGTCATAGGGGGCGATTAAGCATTCTGGATGCAAGCCCTTAGTCAGACACGTGTTTTAAGAGGGGTCCTCAAGCAGCTGCCTGGGGGGGAGGGGGGGCCGTGGGCTCGCAGGAGGCCCGCTGCTCGGGTCATCGTCTGTTTCCCATGTTTCATTTCGGATAGCCTCCGTGGTCGCAGCTTCAAGTTCATGCATCTTTGCTTCTTTGCTCTGGCCGTGTTCGGTTGGCCGTTAATCCTACCCAGAGTACTTGTCATCGCCCGTGTTATCCTTTCTGTGTCCAGAAATTCAATTGGGATCTTAAAAGAAACCTTCCCTGTCTCCGTGACGTGCTCAGTGTTTCCTCCAGTTTCTGCAGCAGGCGGGACTCCGTTGTGACAACCTTCTAACGTTTTCTCATTCTGTCACCTGGCCGTTTCGGGGTCCTTTTCCATCAGTTATTTGACTCTTAACAATGACTTGCATTTTCCTGCTTCCTTGAAGGCTTCCAACTAGACACAAGACGACATGTGCTCTGCCTTTTTTGGTGCTGGATGTCTTTGTATGTTTCTAGCTATTCTTGAGCTGCGTTTCTTGGACTCTGTTGGGAAATGATTGAACCTTTTTAGTTCTTGTGTATGTTCTTTGTTTGCTGGGATTCTGGCAGGGTCTCACGTGGAGCTGGTTCTCCTCCCGCTGATGCTGAAGTCCTCGAGTATCGCATCTGATGCCATGAGTCGTTTCTCCACTCTGGCCAGGGTGCCCCTTTTCCCTGCATGAGCCCCAAGGATGGTCCCTGTAACCTTCCCAGGTGGCTCGCCCCACCCTCGGTAGTTAGTGCCCTCGCACCACCCATCCCGGCCGGTGGGGCCCTCGGCAGATCTGTGCAGCGCTGTCCTTGTGGGTCCCCTGCCCCCAGCCCCCCGGCGGGGACTCCCCAACCCAGGGTCTGCTGGGCCCCTCCCTGCATGCAGACTTACCTTGTCTGCTCCCATCCCGGGGTCACTGTGCCGTGTTTTCTGGTGTCCAGGATCTCGAACGCTGTCACATATTTTATCCAGTGTCCTGTTGTTTGAAGCAGCAGGTAAAATCCGGTCCCCGTTACCCCACCTTGACCAGAGCGGACGCCCCAACTGGAAGTTTTGTTTTGAGGACGTTCCGGGTTAGAGGTCGTGCTCAGACTGGCCGCCCATGGTTGCTCTGTAACGCCGTCTCCCTCCTTACGTGCCTGTGAAGTTCAGTCTGCGCACACATAGCAAAACTGAGTGAGGTTTGAAATCACTTTTATCTCCCCAGACTTGCTTTCTTCAGCGTATGAAAGCGACGGGCCGTTTGATGGCAGAGAAAGGCAAGCCCTTGGCCTTACGTTTTCGTCTGCTCCTTCCGTGGCAAGCCCGGTGCAGTGTGTTTAGGGGTGCATGCCAGCTGCTCCTGACTGGTCCTGCTGAGTTTGCAGCCACATCCCGGCCAGCCACCCCGTGACCACTGGGCCAGGCAGGGCAGCCGGGGTCCCACCCTGCCCCCCGGCACAGGACCACCCACAGAGCCCCTGAGCAAGTCGGGAACGGTGGGTTTCCAGAAGCTCCTGGCTGCACACGAGAAGAGCAAGACTTGAGCTGCCACCCATGCAGGTTAGAGGGGCAGCTTGGGAGGAGTGCACATCCCCACCCAGGCCGAGCGGAGGTGGGCCTGGGTGTGAGGAAATGGGCCGTGGTCTCGGCAGCAGAGCGCCGGCTCCCTCCTTGCCTGGCGGTTCCGGAGGAGGCACACCAGTCACCACTAGCTGCGCTAACTCAGACTTTGCTTTCCAAGTACGCATGCGCCCCGCACGGTTCTCACTTCCATTTGTTGTGAAAGCTGATGGTGCCCCTGGCTGAGTGTGGACCATGCCCGAAGAGCCCGGTGAACGCCCTCACCCCTGCCACACGCCTGTGTGCCCCCGGTCCGCCCTGCTCCCCACCTGACGAAGTGGGCTGCTGCCGTTGGTTTTTCCGGGGACGTCGCCGTGGACCTGACTTCTCAGAGTGCCGGTTTACACGCACGTGGGCCATGCATAACGTCAGTGTGTGTCGTGTTATAACGCCCTGCTGCCCGGGGCTTGACCAGGCATGACCACGCCTGGGCCATGCTGGCCGTTCCGAGGGAGCCTCAGTGCACTGAAGGAGGGGAGCTGCCACCAGGTGTTCACGGGGAGGCCCGTCTCTTGGCTGAGGGCCAGATTCATGGCCGGATTTTATGGGAGTGTGTTGTTAAGGGTGAGGTTTCAGCAGGCACGTGAGTCCGAAGCTCCGTTTCTGAACTTACATCCAGTGTGACCCTAATCTTGCCGTTCTGTTTTCTTCACCCCATTGCCCAAGCTGTTCTGAAACAAATTCTGGATGTCGTGACGTTTGGTCCGTAAATGTCTTCGTGTGCGCACGAAGGGTAGGGCCGCTTTTCCTTGCACGGAGGACATTTCGTTACCATGTCAGAGCAGCAATCCGTAGTAACGTCAAACATCCGATCTGTGTTCGTGTTTGCTCCAGTTTCTTACAACTGTTTTTTTAGTGTTTGGATTCAAAGAAAGTCCATGCATCGTGGTTGGTTGACAGGTTTTATAACTTTCTCTTTTTTAACTTTATATCTCGAAATAAAAACTCACCAAAAATTGCAAAAACATCACAGAGAATCCAGTGTCCACTTCAGCCAGCCCCGAGTGGTGACATTGCACACCACTGGGGTGTAAGGGGGTGACGTTGGCACAGTGCTGTTCACCAGGCCACAGACTTTATTCAGCGAGTCCTCAGTCCACAGGCGCTGCTCCTTCTTCTTCCCCCTGCGGTCACACTGATGAAACCAGGCAGCTTCTCCTGTGGTGTCACCCAGCCGTCCTTGTGGTCCAGCCTAGCGTGTTCCTCTGTGTGTCCCGTAAGCTGTCGGCTCTCCTGAGACACTAGTTGGGTCGTGTTCTTCTTATGTGGGGGCAAGACTCGCTGTCAGTGGTGGTGGGCTTCCAGTAGGAGGCTTGCACTCTGGCTGTTGTGACTGGTGTGTGGCCCTCGTGACCACCAGCCGCCCAGAATCGCTGCTTTGTTAGGCGTTGCACAAAGGCTGTATCTCTGCATCCTTCCTGGTCGGTTAGATGGAATACTTCTGTAAAGAAAATCTTCTCCTCTTCAACTAACTGGGCAGCTTGAGAAGCAGGATAAATACTCCATCCTTCCTTTTATTGACTATCTTTCAACATGCAGATTTGTGTTTTTGCCGTTTCCGAAGGTAAACAACCAGGCGTTTTTGTAAAAAGTATCGTTAGATAAAGGTTTAAACACTTTTGCGTTTCAGACCATTGGGTTGTCGTCCTGTACGCTTAAACTGCCCCATCCTCGGCCAGGGAATCTTTTCAGGCTCGTCCACAGTCACAGTGACAGTGACCCTACCAACCTCAGCTGCAGCCCTTTGCCATGACATAAAGGTGCAGCCCTGGAGTCCGTGTGCAGGAGCCCCCCTGGCCACTGCAGGGGCACGCACGTGCAGAGGCCACGGTCTGGACATCAGGTGTGCTTTCCGCTTCTGAGCCAGTTACGTTTTCTTGGCCTTTTCAGTGGACAGAGGCAGAAAAGGTGTGAGTGTGGAGCACACGAGTTCTTACGGCTACTTCAGGTCCAGGTTCAGGGCCTCACCTCCACCTGTGTCCCCCCACCACGAGGCCCTTTCTCCGCCATACCACACCCTTGTGCCCGTCCCATGCCAACCACACCAACAAGAGGAACACAGAAAACAGGGACCACACGTGTGCCGAGGAAGCGGGGGACGGACCCTCGGGCCCTGTCGGCATGAGCCGGTGCAGCTGCCGCGGAGGACAGCGTGGCGGTTCCTCCAAATACTGCAGCTAGAACGAGCGTGTGACCCCTAGTTCCTCTTCCAGGTATTTACCCAAAGAACCGAGAGCAGGGACTCGAGTGGGTATTTGCACACCCACGTTCACAACAGCTGAAACACGGAAGTGACCCCGTGTCCACCGACGGACGAGTGGG